CAATAATTACACTGTGTGTCACAATATTAAAGTAATTATTACTCAGAGCACTAGACATAAATTGAAATATTCTTACAAAAAAGAAACAAACAGATGATACACTTCTTTTCAAGGAACTAAGATAAACAAGTATCATAAATTAAACCAATTAGCATATATATTGTAATATTTTGAAAACAATGGAATTTGTAATTTGAGAAATTATTTGAACTTCTGTCTATTTCTTATTTATCTCTCTTCTATGTTTGTTTTTTATTTGTGTTTTTCATATAAGAGAAACCACCCAAATGGATCAATGGAACAGAATGGAAGAAACAGAAACAACCCAGGCACATACAGCTATTTGATCTTTGACAAAGGAGCCAAAAACATACACTGGAGGAAAGGTAGCCTCTTTAATGAAAAGTTCTGGGAAAACTGGTTATCCAGATGCAGGAGATTGAGATTTGACCCTTATACTTAAACTAAAATCAAAATGGATGAAATAGCTAAGTCTTAAAACAGAAACACTTAATCTGCTGGAAGATAAAATAGGTACAACTCTTGAAGAGATAGGAATAGGCAAGGACTTTCTCAACAGAACATCAATGGGTCAATAAATAATACTGAGAATAAAAAAAAACGGGATCTTAACAAATTTAAAAGCTTCTGCACACAAAGGAAACAACCAACAGAGTGGAGAGACAACCTACAGAATGGGAAAATATTTTGTTTCCAATACAGAAGCAGTGAAAGCTGAGCGAGCCTTCTGGGACATGGCAGTTGCCTGACATGAGGGATCCGGGGTCACAATCAGACTTCTCCCCAAGCAGGCAGCTATACAGGAAGCTTCTGCAAGCCCTGTGACTGTGATCCCAGACTCAGGTAGCATGGCTGTTCTCCTTGGCCCTCTGGTGGGCTGTACCCATTCCAAAAACAGAGAGCTGCATTCCTTTGGTGTTTTTTTCCTTTTGTGACAAGGTCTCTCTACATTGTCTAGGAAAGTCTCATACTGCTAGGCTAAAGTGAAAATTCTGACTCAGCTCTCACACTACTAGCAGAGAGCAGTGGGGTACGGATGAGTTTTATCTAAAACAAACCTAACAGGATTCTAGCTGATGGCAGCCAGATACTATCCGAAACAACCTGTGATCAGATAGCAAGCATGAACAGATATAAAGACAGCATAATTCAGAGTACTATTATACAGTCTGGTCACAACCACACAAGGCTAAAAATAGAAGCATAGTTTAAAATATGTTCAGGGAGTTATGCATTTGGTAGAAGAGCAAATTTTGTTAGTGGCAAATGCAGTTTCCTCATATGACCAGCTTGCCTAAGTTCCCTGATAGATGAGGGAGAGTCTATTTTTCTTCTTGGGAGAAAGGAGGCAGTCTGTTCTTCCTTTTCCTTTGGTCTCCAAACCCACACTGCACTGCCTCAGAGAGCCAGTCTGTCTTCTCAGGAGGACAAGGCAGACCCATGCACTGGATAGCCTGTCTACTTATGAAAACAGCAAACATAATTCTGGGAGCTTTTTATATCTGGGCTGACTTATATACTGGAAATAAGATTTTGGGGATTCTAGATATTGTTTTAAATTCTCCTAAAATTAGAAAGAAAAAACTTTAGGAAACAACCATCATTGCCTCCTTTCATTACCTAGGAAGCTTCCTAATACTAACATTCTAATTAAATTATGCTAAATTTTATTGTTTCCAAATATAAATTTCACGGGTGACACAAGCATTCAGAAAGTTGTTATGCTTGATTTGAAGATAATCATGAATTGAGTCTTTCTCCAAGGATCTCTATGCTCTGTATGCTCTATGCTCTCCAGGTTAAAGACCAAAAACTACCTGTATGCTCTGGCCTTGATTTTTGCCGTTGAAGAGGTCAACAGGAATCCCTATCTTCTGCCCAATGTGTCTCTGGGATATGAGTTCTATAATGTTGATCACAGTCAGTGGAGGACCCTGGAGAGCTCCCTCATTTTGTTCACATGACAGGATGAGGTGCCCAATTACTCCTGTAAGACAGAAAACAAATGTACAGCAGTACTTCCAGGAGAATCATGGACAACTTCTCTCCAGATAGGATCACTACTAGGACTCCACAAAATTCCACAGATAAAGGTTTTTGAGATGGTGGGAGATGAATCTGTGTTACCTTTGGTGATGCTTTTAGGTGCCTAAAGGAGTTGTGTTTGTTTTTCTCACAGCATATCATTTCAAAGGTGAGAACACAGAGACATGTAGTTCATCCACATTTTCATTGTTTCAGTAGAGTAGGAAAACACAGTTTTTCTGGATCTCTCATCTTTGACACTGACCAGTTATATTCTCATTATTCTCTACCATGTCCAGCTCCAGCTGTCGTTTAACACTATTTAAGTTTCAGAATCTTCTTTTTGCCAAATCTCTTTCTCATACTTCTTCCATTTTTTGTTTAGATTAGCTTTGGTTCTTTTGAACCTGTGCTGAGTTACAGTGACCAGTTTCCTTATATCTATCAGATGTCACCAAAGGACACATCTCTGGCTCTTGGCATGGACTCCTTGATGCTTTATTTCAGCTGGACCTGGGTGGGACTGGTTATTGGAGAAGGTCAAAAAGGTCTTCAGTTTCTCTTAGACTTCAGAAGAGAGATGGACAGACAGACAGTCTATGTTGCATTTATTAAAATGGTCACAAATGATTTTAGGACATGTTTGTCAAGTTCAGGGACTTATCATCTGTGGAGCAGAGACACATCCCTAGGAAATGTTGTGATCATTAATTTTGATACAGATAGTACAATCAATATCAAGTTTCTTGTATTGAAAAATTTAGTAACATGGACGATCTGGGTTACGAACTCACAGTGACAGGCTACAATCACCGTAAACAATTTCATACTTGACCTATTCCAAGGGACTTTCATTTCTACAAACCACCATGAGATTTCTTGTTTTAAAAATTTTGTACAGTCAACTAACCCCTCCAAATATCCAGAAGATACTCACCTCGCTATATACTTGATGAAGTATTTAGATTGTTCATTCCCCAATTTCGACTGAGCACTGAAGAACTGTCCCCCCTCAGTGCCTCTCTGGCACAGTTGCCTGTGAATCTCATTGACACAAGGATGACAGATTGGAGTTACAATATATATAATGCTGTGTATGTGGTGGCCCACAGCCTCCATGAAATACTTATACAGCAAGTTGAAATACAATTGTTGAGACATGGAGAAACAATGGTGTTTTCCCCCTGGCAGGTAATGTCTCTTTCACTTTTATCAAGGTGTTATATTTAAGGGCTTCCACAAGGGCTCCAAAGGAGTCATTTCATATCCTTTCTCCAAAAATGTAAGTGACATTTTCATTGTTGAGGCAAAAGTCAACCTGGGTAATGGTCCTTTAGGTAAAGAACACTCATACAGAGGGAATGACATATGAGTGGAAGTGAATGCTGTGTGTCTCAAATGATGTAAATCCCTGCCCCCCACCCCCGCCTTAGTACTCTCAATAGACAGATACCTGAATTTTTCTTATGGAGCTTTCAAAGGAAGGCATAAAAAGTTATAACTGTTTATGTACCTAAATGATGCTAAGCAGTAAAATATATATATTAGATAAATGATCTCATTTGGTTCCACAAATGTTTTTGGTACTAACCTCTTATGTAGATCACCATTAAGGGAACAAGAAGAGAGAAAATATGTTTGGAAAGCTTTGGCTCCACAGGGTATTTCTGACTCCAATATAGACTTAGATGAGTTTGGTTGGAGAATTTTCTCTTGAAAATGACTAATCTTTGAGAAACTGAAATATTAGCTCTCCGTGGGCTTATAAATATGCTTGTGTTACTGTTTCATGATAAAGTATAGATTTAAAGTGATCAGGGCTTTCCTTAATTTAAGTTTTTCTGTCTTAACCCTGAGCTCCATTCATCATAGGGTGCTTTACCTTTCTTAACTGAACCCCTTTCTGAAGAACATTCAATTTAACAATCTTGGTGGAGGATAAGTAAATGTGGATGAGAATAGAAAATTGAATGCAGAGTATGCCATTCTCAATTTTTGGAATTTTCCAGGTTTTAAACTAAGGACCAAAGTAGAAAAATTTTCCCGACATGATCCACATGGTCAACAATGGTATTTATCATAGGATATCAGAGTGGGCCACAGGAATGACTGAGGTAAGTTGGTCCTACTAATAATGCATTTATTATAATTTAAAAACTATCATCATTTTGTGAGTGTCATACTCTTACCTTGCTTTAAAAAGCCTATGTTTGGAAATTTAATACTTTACTTTCCAATTTTAGGAATTAATTTTGTTTATCAACTTTCTAATGAATGAGAAAAGAACATATTTTTAAAATCATTTTTTCTGAAAGTTGTATTTTGTACCATTCAATACATGACATCTAATCAAAAATTGGATTTGGGCATAAAGAAATGAAATTTTCACTCAATTATAAAAGATTATGAAAAATACAAGAAGTTATCAACGTATGTCTGATTTTCCCAGACTCCCTGTTCTGTATGCAGTGAGAAATGTAATTCTGATTTACAAAAACTCCTCAGGAGGGAAAGCTAGCCTATTGTTTTGATTGCAGCCCTTGCCCAGAGAATGAGATTTCCAATGATACAGGTAAGTGCATGGCTGTGGGAAAATTCCTATCCCTTTTTTATATTGTTCCATCCATCCTGGAAATGGAAAACACTTGGCAGTGGAGAGGAATGATAGCATTATTTCTTATTTCAAGTACCAATTTAATAATAATATTCAATATATTTACTGAAGTAATAATATCTCATTTAAAACATTCTTAGATTTTTTAATAGAACTAATAAAATTATTATTTTCTCAAAAATTTACTGGACCTCTGTTTTCTTATTTCAATATCATCATGGATTTTAACAAAAGTGTTATTTTTTTCATTAAGTTTATTGGTACATTTTTAGGTATACAATACAGTTACATTCATCACTGGGATTTTGTACCTTTACATGCTGCATCTTGGTTCTTATTTTTTTCCCGTTCCCCTGCCCTTCCTTCACCCCCTCCACCCTTCCCTATTTACAAAGACTTTGTTTCCATGTTTTTCCTTTTCTCATATTTTTTCTTTTCCCTTCTTTCCTTTGCCCTAACTGTCCCAATTATCCTACTCCTTTAGACCTTTTCTTCCTATTTCACAATATCAATTGTACATTTTGATCCTTATTTACACTTTTAGTTTTTCACACGAGAGAAACAATTCGGTATTTACACATGAACACAAAGTGTTACTAAGTACTAACTCATCTTTTTTGAAACTACAGTTGGACATATTAAAGACATGAATATCACACATCCTTACTTTCACAGTTCTAGTAGTGTTCTTAACATAGTTCAGGCACCAATGTTAGGTGTGGTTGAAGGAATAGTTGTGACTTTTATGTACTCTATGCTTTCAGTACAGCATCATCTCATTAAGTAGATTTGATGTCTTGCTCTTCTAGAATTCACAAGTGAACAGGGCAGACAAAATATAATAATATGAATGGAAATAATGGCATAGAGCTACAGTACTGATATACATTTTTGGTAGGATATCATTCACTTGTCTACAAAAGCAATAGTATTATTTGTATGTTATTTGGCTGGGGATGGAATTGTGAGACCCAACTTAGCAAAACCAGCACCATGTTGAGAACATTCTCCTCCATTTTGCAAATATGTGACTTCCAGCTGCACTCTGTCGCTGGGGAGAAAACCCCACTCCTAACTGATAAACAGAAACTGTGTTTCAGGTGATCTGCAACAAACCGTTACCCAGGGGAATGGGAGGAACTAACTGTGCTTATCCTGGTTTCTGTAACCAGCTTCTGCAACAATCGGTAACCCAGGGGAATGGGAGGAGGGACTTTTTCTGTGGTTTCCTTTAAATATGCAGTCCTCATTTCAGTTGGGGCCTTTGTCCTCCGACTTGGTTGGAGTGTACATGGGTCCCAGCTGGAAAATAAAGTTCTCCAGTAAGATCCCAGGACTGTGTCCTGCTTTGAGAGTTCATCATTAATCTAATTCGAGGATGAGGTCCAAAAGGAGTAAGAGCCAACATGACACACTGCTGCTGTGTAATATTCAAATTTTCCAATTAATAAAATTCAGTGTTATTAAAACGCAAAATGTGGAGATGAAGTTGGAATAAGGCAGAGAGTAAGTACAGAAAACCAATACTGAAGATTTTCATATGTAATAATTACAATTTTGGAAATACTTGGATTTATGATACAAAATCATGGCTCATTATGATCTCTTTCCTGTAAATATTCTAATGTATTTAGTGGAAGATGGATGACTCAATTTCCCAACATAATTAGCATAGTTTTTATTGTGTCTTGAAATATTTTGAAAATGACTATACAGTGTACCATGTAGTTAAATTTGGTATGTATTCTTCCTGCAGACTGGATGTATTACACTTTAATGTATGTGTTTGTGTTTACATATAAAAAAAATCTACCCAGAAATAGCAGTTCCTAACCATGAATGCTTAAGAAATAACTTCTTTCTAGGCATGGTGGCTCACAACTATAATTCCATAACTCAAGAAACTGAGGCAGAAGGGTGGCTGTGAGTTTGAGGCCAATCGGGGCTACATAGTGAGTCCAGGGCCAGCCTGAAATACAAAGCGAGATATTGTCTCAAAAAACATAAGTAAATTAATAAAAATTTTTTCTTAACCCATAAGATATAGAAAATATTAAAATAAAAAGTACTAGTTTAAATACATTACTTACCAAATATTTTGT